AAGCAGCGGGTTTATCGGGCAGCTGAGTGAAGTGGAGCCTGCGGAGGAAACACCGGGACCGTCTGGATGTAATAGTCCGTGGAGGTGCTGCGGTGCTCGGCTGCACAGATAGGAAACCCCTCGGCTGACAGGATGTACCACTCTCTCACTCCGCTCTCTCTCACGCAGGCGCAGAACGTACGTGCTACTTGGCCGTCGGATGTAGTCCGTGTAGTGTGTTCAAATGCAACTGACACAGGGCGACGTGAGGCGACGTAGACGACGCAACGGTTGGCTTTCGTTGCCGCAAGTTCTTTGATGTTGGTTTGGTGTGTCCGCACCTGTAAACCCGGTCCATCTGAGATCACAGCATAAAATACTGAACCTGAGACCGACCAAACAAACATGGTTCCAAGTTTCAATTATAGTAGAAAAACTTTTGTTTTCATTCCTTTTAAGGATCGTTCTGACTCGCGCTAATAATAATTCTGTAATACCGTGAAACTGTGATAAATCTACTGTAAAATAAATACAAAACACAACCATTTAAATTTGTACACCCCTCCCCGAAACCAAAATACAAACACACAAGTCTCTACCCAATCCTCAAAAAAATAAAACAATAAATAAATTTAAAACAGTTTTCTTTTGTTTGTTGCTGACGTAAGTGTTTGTCACATATGATGTGTATAAAGAAATTTTTAAAATCCAACAAAAATGTCTGTTTTTACAGTTTCTGTCTGTGAAAAATAGTTTAATTTTGGTGAATTTTAAAGAAAACATGTTTGCTTATCTTCAGTATGTAAACAAAATACAACTGGACAAAGAATCTCAACTTTATTTTAGTCATTTTTAAACCAAAAGAAAAGGCTTTAAACACAAACTTCCAATAAAGATGGTTCCAAGTTTCCATTATAGTAACAAAACTTTTATTTAATCTTCTGTTTTTGTTCCTTTAATGGTCACTCTGACTGATGTTAATAATAATTCTGTAATGATGTGAAACTGCCATAAATCTGCGGTAAAATAAATCCAACCATTTAAATGTGTGTGTCCCTCCCCTGAACCAAAATAAAAAACCTCAGTCCCTACCCAGTGCTCAAAACATTATTTAACATGCCTCCCTCTTTTTGCACCACCTCCTCCACCCTCACAAATAACCAACAGTCCCTAACGTCACTCTGTGTGTTGTTACTTACAGTTAAAGCTCAGTAACTCACTGAAGGAGAGACGTCAGCGTATATATTCATGTCAGAGCATTTTCTAATAACGGCTCTACACGCTGAAATAGAAATATAATGCTGGTGAGACAGAGTTTAAGAAAGCAAACAAACAAAGTGGTGAAGGAGCCAAAATGATTTCAGTTTAACCTCGACTAAAAACTCTACAGGCAGTTTATTCTTCATCACACTGAGCTTTAGTTAAACTTTAATATGTGAATATGTTGTGTGTACAAGTCCATGCACTTTGTTTCTTCCTGCCACCATCGTGTCCTCGTGCTGAAGCTGTCTGAGTGAGTGAGTGAGTGAGTGAGTGAGTGAGTGAGTGAGTGAGTGAGTGAGTGAGTGAGTTCATACCTGCCGTTCCACTCCTGCAGGAAAAACCAGTTTGACAACACGTCCTGCCAGTTTATTATCAAACACTAATTTGTAGCTTCACTAGATTCAACTAAATGACTTTTGTTAGCTTTATATGTAGCT